ACAAGCAGCCGCTTTCGACACTGGTATGTTCTTGATCGTCCGGACGCTCTCCTGGCTGCTCGTCCGAGGCCGGGCGCCCGGCGCAATGCTGTCCTGGCTCGTCGTGCGCTCGCGCGTCAGCGTGCGGACGGAGCTGCCGGAGTCGCAGCGCTGGCGGAGGTGTGCCTGGCGGGCGTCGCGCGCGGAGTCGTTCTCGTCCGGCGCGATCTCGCCGTGGTCGCGCTTCTTGCGGATGGGGATGCGCGTCGGGAACGCCGCGTCCGCTGTGGCGGTCGTGAGGCGGGGCTTAGGCGCGATGATGCTGCGGAGGCTCCCGCGGGTGATGGGGCCCAGTTTCGGGCGGGTGGGGGCATTGGATGGGACGACCGGCGTACGAGAGCTAACAGAGGTCATGACTGCTGGGTATGGGGTATCGTGGGTATGAGTGCTGTGTGGCAGGGGTGGTGGTATATCGGGGATACGAGATGCAGTTCGGTATAAATGAGAGTGGGATATGCGCCTCGGGTAAGTAGGGCTACAGGGACGAGTCTTCGCGCCGATCGTGTTCTCGCGCCAGCGAGTGTCGGTTGCCAGTTCAACTGGTCGAGATGTGCTCGACTGGGATGCGTCCGACGCACCTTTATAGCGGACAACGAAGCCGACTATGACGGTCACCCTGGCGCGCGAGGTTCACACGCGTCGAACAAAAGGACGGTTGATCGACATCATGTGGCCTGTCCGCTTCCGGCATCTTCGCTTTGTCGCCGCGAGAGACCTGTTCGAGACTCGCCTCTTCGCAAGACAACAATCGCTTCTCCGTGAGTCAGTGCACCCCGTCTTAGATACAACCCAGCTTCTAGAGTCGCGGGCCGTTGTGAGGTGGCGTCGGGCGGTGCTCTGCTGTGATCTGAGGCGGAACGCACCACGTTCGAGGCCTGGTGCGTGAATGCTTCTGACAGCTAGAGATGCGTAGCTTGACGAGCCCACGGCCGCCAAGCCTTACAAGCGCATTGCCCAGGGTCGACTTGGACTTCGAGTTATGGAGCGTGAATGGTATCCCGAGGTGGTTGGTACGAGGGGCGGGTTTCTTGAGGGCAGCTTGAGCAGGGCTGACCGGGTTGGGATTAGAGATGAAGACCATCGTCCTGCCGCCATATTAGCGCATTCCAAATGAGAGCACGGTGGTGCGGAGCGTAACGTCGTCGCATAGTGTGTCTCGTGATATGCTTGTGACGCGTGACGCAACGCGTCGCGATTGTGGCTGCCGCTCCATCTCGGCCCGGCAGTTTCCGCGGCCGCGGCCTCAGTTGAGTGAGCCACTCTCCGTACTTCAACGACCTGCCGCCACCGCCTGCATAGGTTCATCTATCCCAGCGCGCTCAGACTTGCCTCCGCGGTGCTTTCATTGCGGAAATCTCTCCGTGATCCGCCCAGTTTTGGACAGCCAAGTGGCTCACATTATCAGTGAACCCCGCCACACAAAGTGTCGCCTACTCACGGCCCCCTTTGTGACCTATCTACAAAGCGTCTATACCTCCCCAGCCCCTTTATCACCCGCACATGCAATCTCTCTTCTCAAGTTCTCTGTCCGCCTCTGCGGTCACCCGCCTCAGATCCGCATACGCACTCAAGGCAATGCTGCGCGATTCGCTAAACCTCAACTTAAATACCCCGAGCCTGGAGGGCGACGCTCAGCCAGAGAAAATGGCGTCCTCAACAATACCTGAACCACCCTTCGCAGATGAAAGCGAATTGTTCTCTTTGCAGTGGCCCTGCGTCGGCGAGGACATCGACCTCGACGACTACGCGCCCCCACGTCCACGCCAGAGGCAGGATTCCGCTGCGTCGACCGCAACGCTCAAAACCGGGTCCGACGAGAGCAACACTCAAGTCTCCGAATCATCACCCAAGAAACGTAGCAAGCGTTCTGCCTCCAAGCATCGCGTGGTGTCGAGCGGGGGGAAGCGATCGCTCAAGAGGAGCCACTCTTCGCGAAACCTGCGTCCAAACGAGGAAGTCCACGTCGAGAAACAGGGCACTGACGACTCGGAGCCCGACTGGTCCGAAGATATTCCAGGGCTCAAGTTTACCGCGTCTGAGACCGCGGACGGCGTGACTTCCCTCAACTTCCAGCGAAGTCCGCCCACCGCCGCGGAGGTCAAACAGCTCGCTGAGCTCAATGAATTCATCGCTCAGGAGGAAGATCACGCAAAAATGCTGGACGGCCTCTACAACACTGTTGTGTGTGGGATCAAAGTTCGACAACGCTTCGACGTCTCTATCAACTTCAAGACGAAGCACGTGGAATTGTGGGACGTCGCCAACTTCCAGTACGTACTTCCACTTCCGTGGTGTCTCCCGATCATACGCTGACCGTCTTTGTCTTCGCGCAGGAAGGTGCACACCGTCGAGGGTATAGTCTACGTCAAGGACGCACTCCCCTACGTACCCGGACATCTTCTCGAACAACCCATCCAATCCGTCTCCCTCGAATGGCGCACAGTCGAGTCCGACTGCAAGAAACCGCGCATCACGGACAAAGTCCTCTACGAGACGTGCCTCGGCGAGGAGCCGAAGAACAGCCGGTACAACATCTATGAGCTCAGCGTGGCAAGGGGCCTGTACACGGGGAAGAAGTGGGAGTGGGTCGCCCCTGGTGCCCCGGGGACGAGCCGCGGCGGCGGTTGGGTGATGCGCTTCTGGGTCCCGGTACCCTTGTCGCTCCTGAAAGATCGAGCCGGCGGGGTCGCCTCGTTTGTACATGCAAGCGTGACGCTCATAGACGACGACCAAGATGACTTGATCACGACCCACGCACAGACCACGGTCACTCTGGAGAGCCTGCGTAGTGGGCGCGACATGCCGGTCTTTAGTCGATTGTGATGGATGGTCGTCGGTCGCCGAGGGTTGTGTTGATGGCTTGTTGGACTGTCAGGTATATATTCTGTACTTTTCCTTTTGTTTCAAGTAGCATGTTGTGGGACTGCATTTATCACTGCGCCTATATCTCGTTGCATCCTGTATCGTTTCCGGTGTACAAAATTTCCCATGCATACACGTAGCTCAATCACTGTACACCCGTAGCATTTAGTTACACATCCATATCTTTTCACGTACATTTTTCCCTCCTAGCCATGACACGCACTAGCAACTCGCATAGGATCGCGGTACAGGCTGAGTGACGCTACTTAGCTACTAAATTGAAGGGAATCACATGACCGTGACTGACGCGACGCGACGCGCGACTGCCAAACGGGGCGACGCACGGACCGGGAGGCGCCCATCTCTTTGATTCCACCACCATGCGATGCCAATGCTAATAGCTCGCCAACCCCCGCCGTCGAAGGATAGTATGAGTCAGACAAAAAATCGCTCTCTTACGTCCCTTCCTTCGCCATCTCGTCCTCAGATTTGACACTGCCAGCGCAAGCGTCGTGACTGGCTTTGGCAGCCGCACAGGCTACATAACACCATAGTCCTCACGCACTGCGGGCAATACATCGGCATGGCTTCTATCATAGCAGCATTCAAGTGAGCTACCCGCTTTCATCAAAGAGGCTGCATCTCTTATATCCTCGTCGTGCCCAGTGAAGCACTCGTCACCCGGCCGATGCTCACTCGGTCCGCGACGTCCATGTCTATGTTCGCCCTAGGCGATATCATGGCACAGCAATTTGTCGAGAAGAAGGGCACACAACACGACGTGAGTATACCTTTACATATCCCTCATGCTTACTAACGTCCCGGAGCCTAGTTCGTCCGCACCGGGCGAGGTGCACTTTACGGCGGTATGCGGTTTCTTCCTTCTGTATGTTAGTGTCTGATGAACGCTCTCACATACATTTGATACAGCTACGGTCTTCGGCCCGGCGTACACGACCTGGTTGAGGTGGCTGAATAGCCTCAAGTTCTCGTCGCGGCTCCGTGAGGTCGCTTGCAAAGTGTGTCTCGACCAGTTCGTGTACGCCCCAAGTAAGCCATCGCCGAATGCATGGCGACCGTTCTCAGCCCGCTCACCTCATCTCTAGCAATCATCGCAGTGTATTTCACGAGCATGACGTTCATGGAGGGCAAGTCGGCGGCGGATGCGCAGGAGCGGTTACGCACGGTATGTCCTCCAACGACGACACCAGCGCTCTAACTTAGCAAACCACGTCCTTCAGGCATACCCACCTGCGATACTCAGAAGCTGGTGAGCGCAGTCGACTCACCCGTGCGACCGCGGCTGTTTGTACTGACGCGCATCTACCACAGCTCGATATTCGTCCCCGCGCAAGCCCTCAGCTTCTCTCTCGTGCCGGCCCAGTACCGTTTCTTCGTCGTCACAACGATCTCGCCATTCTGGAGTGAGTGTTATTTGACCGCCTTCCCTTCTCGCCCTGTTCACTCAGGTGATGCGCCCGAGAACAGATACATACCTCAGCGCGATGAACGCTCGGAAGGTGACTCGGAGGTCACAACAGTCTGAGCCACACTCGACGATGCACGGAAACCGTGAGCGGCTCAAGGTTGGCAGCTTCTAGCATAGTCTGTGCCTAATAATCCTCTTCAATGCGCAATATGAAAAGTCCACTAGGTATCACTCACCGTGGCGCGATTGATCGGGCCGAGGGCAGCGCACGCAATGCGATCCTTGGGTGACAAGCTGAGAAAGGTGCTGCCTCCGACTTGCGGTATGTTCGTATCGGCTACCCTACGAAGTCCAACCATTACTACAATATCATTGTATCGGGCATCATATTACAAATACCATACGAATGTTCTAAATTCCGACTATGAGGGGCAAGTGTTATCAGAGAATGTTATAAAGGGATTTAACGAAAGAACTCATTGCGTTCGGGGGGAAAGTAATACGGCTTTGTTGCGACTTTGTTCTAGTCTCCGTTGCAGACCACAGCACCAACCGAGCTACCTGAACAAAGCAAAAAAAGACGCTTGTCGCGATTGTCGTCGGACTCGGAGAGTGCATCACTCATATTGAGGAACAGATCGGACAATGAGTACTGTGCAAATACGCGACTACACTGATGGTGAAACGGTATCATGCTTGCCTTCCATTATGAGCTAGTGGCTGGCTCAGGTGCACTTGGGTGAGCAAGCGGCGCGGGTTCGACTCCCGCTCAGTGTATATACGTGTCGTCACTACACTGCTTTTTAAAGCTCCGTCCTTGTACTAAGGTCAGGCGAAACAGTACTTCTTCATACCAGCAAGTACCTATGTATATTGCAGACTACACTGATTGGCTATTGTACAAGCCGTGCCATGCTCCGATCCCGTAGTCGATATACTGTAAGTACTACATATGCATAGCACTGTTGGCCATGGATCAGGACTACCGCCCGCATCACATCGCCAGGGATCGTCAGTCATCCACCAGCACCATGGGCGGCTGTACTTATGGCTAACTCGGATGTGCTCACGTCGTGCATGATGTACATATGGCCGGGCCGACACGGACGAGTCTATTCTCCGGCCGATATATATGTGTAGAGCTCAAAAACACCGACTGAGAACACCTACTCCGACACTCCCAGGCAGCCTCCGTAGCCTAAAGTGCAGGGCAGCTAGAACGTCTCAGCCCGATGGCGACAGCGGCGCATCCCCTCCAAGGCGTGCAGGCCTTCATATTCGACGTCTTTGGCTCCGTGGTCGACTGGCGCACGGGCGTGGCCCGAGAGCTCCAGGAGAAGCTCGGGCTCGTCGCGCCAAACGAAGGTACGTAGCCAATCCCCTACCCGCTGTGTCTCTCCTGTTTGGGAGCCCTGGCCGAACACACTCACAACCACACAACTCAGACTGGGAGGCCATTGTAGAGAAGTGGCGAGCAGGATACTACAGGGTAACGTGAGTGCACCTCCTCGGGATGTCTGCTCCGTCCTCGCTCCGTGCTGACCAGTCTCCCCAGCGCGCAGGTCGCGAGCGGAGGCCCCGGCAAGCTTAACCTCGAGCAGATGCTCAGAGAGGTGCGCACACCCAAACCAAGACTCAGAACCCGCAACCTCCCCTCCCACTGCACGTCCTCACGAGCTCCTCGGACAGCTCCTCGACGAGATCCTCGCGGACGACCGCTGGAAGCACCTCGCGCCGCACCTCGACAGCGCCGCCCGGGACGAGCTCACCCTCGCCTGGCACCGCCTGCCCGGGTGGCCTGACTCGAGCGCGGGCCTGTACGCGATAAAGAAGCACGCCATCATTGCGACGCTCTCGAACGGCAGCACGCGCGCGCTCGCCGACATGGTGGGTCTCCTCGTCTCTCCGTTTCCGCGCGGCCGGACCAGGATATTAACGTCCGTCACAGGCCAAGTACGCGGACCTCCCATGGGACATCATCTTCTCCGCTGAGCTCCTAGGCTCCTACAAGCCGTGCGCCCCCTTGCCGTTCGTCCACTCTCGCCGACCACTGACCCTCCTCACACATAAACAGCAACCCAAAGACCTACCTCGGCGCCGTCCACCACCTCGGTGTCGAGCCCTCGCAGGTCTGCATGGTCGCCGCGCACCTGAAGGACCTCCGCGCGGCCGCGTCGTACGGGCTCCGCACTATCTTCATCCCACGCCTGGGCGAGCCCGACTCCGCGCCCGAGACGCGCGGCAAGGCGGATGGCGGCGAAATCGACCTGGTCGTCAAGGACTTTGGCGAAATTGCGAAACTGCTGGAGGAAAGGCCTCTGGAGACGCAGAGTTGGCAGCACTGAGGCAGTGAGTATGTGGTGTTGCGACGGCTCGGAAGAAATGTATCAATACCAACATGTATGGCAAGACGAAACAAGCGCATATACCCACTCGGGGTGCAGCCCATGTCAGCCATCGGTCAAGTCAGCATGAGATATATCACTAGGTCTGAGTGCGAACTCCAGTACACCCAAGCGTGTGTGCAGCGGTATCCCTTCGTTTGTCTGACCCGTAATGTCAATGCTCTCTCCCGCATATCGTTTCGCATCAGGATGAACATGGCTAGCAATTTCTCGGGGCTTGAAGGCAGCAGATGTGCTTGTGTTGCCGCATCCTTCGGATTTGTTTTCCTACTTTTGCTCGGGAGGTACCGTCTCCCCGATATCTTCGTACCATTCCTAAGCAATACCCGATGATGATGAGTTTATCTCACCATTGACTACCTCACCCACGCCAGTCCCACGAAACGCAATCGTACACACGCACCTCCGGCTTCTCCTTGATGAATCGCCCCATGAGCTCGACACACTCCGGGTCGTCGAGGACGACAACTTCCACACCGCGGGAACGCAGGAGCTCCTCCTCCCCCACGAAGTTGCGGTTCTCGCCGATCACGAGCCTCGGGATCTTGTAGAGCAGGATCGCGCCAGAGCACATCGCGCACGGCGAGAGGGTCGTATACTACACGGGACGTACGTTGAGCGACCGGACATACCCGGTATCCAGGGCGTAAATATCGCACAAGGCGAGAGTGGGAGCACGCACCATCGTCGCCTGGCGGTACACCCCGGCCTTGAGTCGCCCTGCGTCCAGCAGCGCCGCAGTCTCGCCGTGGAGGATCGGCGAGTCCAGCTGCACGCGCGAGTTGTGCCCCTGCCCGAGCACGAGCGGCTCGCCGCTGGGCTCGCCCGCCGGGTGCAGGAGCACGAGCGACGCGCCGATGGGGACGCCGCCCTCCGCGTAGGACTTACGCGCAGCGGCGAGGGCGGCGCGCAGACCGAGTGCGTCTTGCGGGGAGAGCGTGCTGGTTGGTCGAGGGGTCGACATTGTGGGTGGGCGAAGTGTTGGGCGGAGGAGAGATAAGAGGGAAGCTGAGCGTGGAGGTGAAGGTGGGTGAACATCGCCTGAACGTCTCAGGCCTGGGAGATAGGCACCCTACGCGGTCACGAGGTTTGTGGCGCGCGAGACAATGTCTGAATGATTCCGAGAGCCGTTGTACAGTGTCAAGTTCCCCGTGAGTCATCTTGTACTTCAGCCCGGTCGTTTTCAATTGGAGACTTGTAAACCACGTCCCGTACACAATGAGATGGTCCGTGTGCATGAGAGATAACCAACACCCAGACACTACTAGTGATTGATGATTGGAGACTTTGCAGGAGCCATTATCGTATCGGTGCAGCCATGATAAAGACGACCAGAGACGATATTAGATGAATGAATAAAATCGGATTTCACGGAAATAATACCAACTCCGAGTCTCATGGACCCACACCCTCCTGACTTGCCACAGTTTCAGCCAGCACCTTTGCGATCACAAAGCCCAATTCTTCCTTTGACGGCATCCGACTACGCGCATCCTTCTCGTCCTCCTCGACGTCAGACGTGGGTGTCAACGGCCCATCAAAACAATCGCGCTCGATGTCCGCGTCCGACGGCGTCTCCCACGTCTCTCGCTCCCAGTCCTCCAACCTCCGCCCCACATACACGCGCGTCCCCTTCGGAGGAGGCACATATCCAGTGTCGTCAAGCTCCTCGACAGGCCCAAGTTGCCAGCGAGCATCGGGCGCCCCGCAGAAGACACGCCTCCGGGGAGGAGCCGGGGGCCCCGCTGCAGCCGAGACCGGCTTCAACACGACGGATTGCAGGTCCCAATTGATGTACGCACCGCCGATAGGTGCGCCGTCGCCGACGCCGTATACACGGCCCCATAGCCGTCCGCTCTGCAGCTCCTGGGCCCGGTTCTCTGGCAACGGTGGGGGCGGTGACATACGATACCGCCGGGGATCACTGATTGACACTGGCACAGAACAAGTCGTCAGCGGGGATGATGAATGCTATGGGTGGCCTTACCTCGTGAATACCGTCGAGGATCCTCCATACCCCTCACTTTCTCTGATCTCTTCCGCTCCCGTTTGGCAGTATCTCTGGGTGAGGGCAAGACTTTATTGCCGTCCCGAGATAGCGGTACCGTATAGACGTCAACCCGCCCACGCGGCATTGGGACATAGGGTACGCCACGCTTCTCACAGCACGCCGTGCAGAGACACGTCTTCAGGCAATACGGACAGTGGAAGTTGGTCGCAAACGAGTTGAACTCGATATCCTTGTACCTGAACATAGCCGGCGGGAAGGGACGGTCGTCAGCACATTCATCAAGTACAAGCCAGACACCGGGGCTACTGACACCTTGAATATGCAGTTCACGCAGAAACGCTTCCCGCACGGCTCTCCGCTCGGCTTGGTCTCCACACAGAGCATCTTCGGACGCGTCGTCGTCCGCCGGCAGTGGTGGCAGAAGGTCATTTCCAACTCCTCCAAGACTTCCAGTTGCCCATCCCCGGCCATCTCACGCCTGGCCTTCTTCTTTCCTACAATCTTCCCCTTCCCCTTCCCTGCCCCCTTCGCGTCTCTCCTTGCCTTCTCCTTGCCTTTCCCCTTCCCCTTCCCTCCTCCCTTCCCGCCCGTCTTCTCGCCATCCTCATCCGTCGCAGCAAGTGTCCGCTCACTACTCGGCTCAGTCGTCCGCTCGCGCCCCGACCCTGACCCCGACCCCGACCCCGACCGGCTACTCCCCGACGTCGACACCGCAGCCTCCAGCGGCGAGGGGTGCCGCTCGGAGGGCGACGTCGGGCGGTCACTGGGCGGCGGGTCGATTACGGGCGGAGCGCCGCCGAGGAGCGCGGGGTCGATCGTCGTCATCGGCATTGTGACCGCGTCCACTGGCAGGCCCGGCTCCGCTTGCTCTCCTCGAAAATGCATGTCAATCATCTCGCCCCCGAGTGCGGCGGCAAAGGACATACCGAGCACCCCGTCGCCCTGCCCATGCGCGCCGAACGCGATACCGAAGTCGGGCTGTGCAGCCGGTAGCGAGGGCTCCGCGATAGGAGAATGCAGGGATGATAGACGCGGGTCAAGCTGGGGATTCGGGACCTGGATGTGCAGGGCCACGGTAGCGTCCATATATTGCTGGTCCAGGAAGCTTCCTTGGGACAACACCGGGTACGGGTACGACGGGCCCTGAGATAGATCATGTTCTTGCCGTTGAAAGACATGCAATGAATGGTGCGACGGTAAGTCGAGAGGCGCGAACTGCGGCTCGGGTGGGCCATACGTTATTGATGCGGAATTCGATGGTAGAGGCGCGTAGACAGGTTGTGATGCATCGATGACCTGTTGCGAAGGCGCGCGAACACTTTGCTGCCTCTCGCTCTCAGACAGCGATGGCGGGGACACCA